TGAGAGTGATGATATGGGTTATTGATTCCTAAAAGTATCTAAGATGATTCACCATAAATCGTAAATTATATTTGGTTCTTCCATTTTAATATTTTAATCATAATTCTCTAGTCCTAAGCTGGTGTATTTTGCCCAAGAATACTATAACCTTAATTCATTACAATGCCCTTGAAGACAGCAGTCAGATAAAATAGTAATTCCCCTCTTAGGAATTGGCCCAACTAAAGCACTTGCGAATTGGCTAAGGAAATGGAGTAGAAGGTTCCAGAAAGCAGCTTCATATAATTAGTATATCCAACCACCATGACCAGTGCCAGCAGCCCCAAGATCTCGTCCAGGAGTCGGCGAACTGTGGCCCACAGGCCAAATGGCCCGCCACCTGTTTCTGAACATCCTGCAAGCCAAGGACGCCATTTACATTTTTAAATGATTGGGGGGGGGAATCAAAAGAAGAATATTGTGTGACATGTGAAAATTATATGAAATTCAAATTTCAGTGTCCATAAAGAAAGTTTTCTTGGAAGAGAGCCATGCCCACTTGTTTGCATATTGTCTCTGGCTGCTTTTGTGTTACAGCTGCAGCTTTCAGAGAGCGTATAGAGCCCACACACTTTAAAATGTTCTCAACATGGCTCTTTACAGCAAATGTTTGCTAGCCTCGGATCCTGAGCTCACCTCACCGCTTCACAGAGGTGTGGGCACTGAAAAGTACCTATGTATGCAAAAACACTGTTCTCACTCCTGGATCTGGAGAACCACTCACCCAAGCATCTACTGAGCATGTGCTATGAATCCATCTTTGGGGAAGGCATGGGAAACACGGAGCTCAGGAAGACACAGTCCCTACTCCTGTGGAGCTTGCTATCCAGAAGGAAGGAGAACACATGAAACAAACTGCAAATGCAAAGTTCACAGGCCCAGGGCAGACAGGGCCAGCCAGGGAAGATGTGGCCCTTACAATGAGAACTGGTTAAGAGCACCCGATACAATGATCTTGCAAAGGAATGCAATCAGAGTCAGGTTGGTGATCCTTAGTGCAGCCAGGTGTGACTTCCTGAGCAAGTCCTGATTTGAGGCTTGTTCATTCTTTAATAACAAAGTTGAAAGAATTTTGAAGCTTCCTGCACACAAATAAATAAAAAAAACCTTTCCTTTACAGAGAAAAAAAAAAGCCTAGTTGTGCCTAAAGGTGTAGACAGTTGTCCCAAATCGAGGGGACTGCAAGAGATGATGTCATAGGGGCCAGCTGCAGTTTTGGAATCCTTCCTAATGACCTCAACATCGTAAATCCCTTCAGCAGTTTGCTGTAATGACATACATCTTGATGAACTCATCTCCCGTGAACGCAGCTGTCTGAAACCCTTTCTCCTGAGCTGCCCATTATCTGCCATCATTGCCACCTCGTTCTCAGAAGCAGCACCCAAAGACGAGCCCTTGTGAGCAAGGACAGAGGATGACCTGGTGCAGCCAGCTGGACTGCCCTGGGCATATGTGCCCCTGTAGCCAGCTTCCCTTCCAGTTAGGTTCATCACTGGGTCCTTCGTTTCCCATCATTCTCCATTTCCACTTGCACTGCGATCCTTTGCCAAACAACCCAAAGAAATAGTAGGCTGTTGCTATTTTATTTTTAATAACACAAAGAAGGCAAACAGGACTGGTAAATACCCGTAGGTGTTGCACAGAATCGGGCATGAGAGTGCTGTGAGTTCAGGCTGGAAGCAGCAGCTGAGATTCCCGCAACAGTTGTCTTTTCTTCATCGTCACTATCTCCTGAGCACTCAGAGCTATGCCTGACATTGACAAAACCATGGAATCATTGCTTATCCCTCCCCCTTTTTTCTAGAAAGTTATTGGTCATTTTTTCTAGCGTTTGTCCATAGATAGCTTTTAAAGACTTCTGTTAGCATGCTTAGCAGCAGCTGCTCATGAAACAATGACCACGTGCCTTGTGCTAGTAGATGTCATGAAAGATCAAATAGATGAGACTGCCCCCAATATTGATGAGCGTGTAACCTCTTCAGAAATCAGGATGACCATCTGAGATAGCATTTGAAAACAAATAAATAAACCTATTAAGTAACCTTTTAAGTTTCTCCAGATATTTCCTTTCACAGGTGCCCAAAAGGTGGACACTGGATTCTCAGAGAAGGTCCTTTCCCGTGGTTATGGGTCTTTCTCCAGAAACCGGAGGCTGTGCTATCGCTCTGCAAAGAGTCTAGGAAACACTGGGATGGAAAATAAAGGAGATGGAGGGAAGAGACAGGATTTCTGCTTCTGCCTCTGCCACTGATTCACTCCGAACAGAACAGATCCATTCACCAAGCCCCACTGTCCTCATCAGGAAACTGGAGGGTGTAGCCAAGACGACGCGCTGAATTTGTTCTGTACTCACACAGGAGGAGAACAGCTCCCCATCACCTTTGTATTCAAATGACACCATGGAACATGGGCTGCAGCCAGACCTGGCCCTAAGTGTCCCATGCGATTATCAACCTTCTCCAAAGGACACTGAAGGTCCCTGAGATGGTGAAGCCCTACCCTGGCCGAAGCCTGGATCCCTGAATTCATTGCTTGAAGATTTGCTCTACTGGGAAAGTCCAGATCAGACTTGCTGTGAATGAAAAAACTTTACTATTAAGGTGTTGAGATTTTGAAACTGTTACAGTTTATCCCAACAAAAACACAATATGGATCTACAATTAGCTTTAAGAGTGGAATCTATATTGTTTTGTACTACTATATTTTTATTTTCTTTAGCAAATTATGAGTGGGCAATATATGGATTATAGCTTGCATCGTCTTTTCTTAAATAAAATATGTGCAAAGCTCTATTATTCCTGTGAGATTTAGCTTTCTGATTCACCCCTGCTTTGTTGAACTGACCACACATGTGTTTGCTATCTACATTTAGGAGGGATTCTTTCTGAGTTATGGTCTTGTTACAAAACAACTGAAATCAGGATCAGGGTGGGTTGGCTTTTTTGTTTATTTGTTTTTAATCTCATTTCTGCAAGGGAATTTCAAAGACCACAACACTATGAAAATTCTATCAGCTCTGCAAAATTTTCTTTGTGGCCAGTCTCCAATATTAATCCTCTCTCCTAAGCTCTTCCTTTGCCCCCTTTCCCAGAAGAACCCTGGACCCTCATGATGGGAATGGGATTATTTATAAGCTGAGAGAATGTGAGTAGCCTCAGACTCAGAGGTGAGGCACCCTGGAGTACTGCATTGCAATTTTCTGCAGCTACAAAGGAGAGTGCACCAATTTGCAATGCTTCATTCCCCCACTGACTCCCACCCTGCTTCCATTTCTTCCTCCTTCCCTTTCTCTCCCCTTCTTCAAGGCCTTGATCCTCAGGCTGGTCCTTATTTATGTGGCTGTTTGTTAGGTATCCAAAATGGAGAGCATAATACACAGAAAAGGGAAGTGAGACTAGATAAGACTGAGCAATTGTCTGCCTTGCTGACAGATGATGTTTGCAGTCCAAGATCATTAACTGTACACAGACAGAGAGGTGTTTTTCTAAATAAGCCATCCTGGATATGCGAGTCTGTGGCTGTTGAATTTATCATGAGATGCTACGGCGGGGCACACCTGTGTGAGTACACACTTCTGGATATCACTGAGCATAAATACAGCTTGCTGGCTTCTCGTCTGTGCCGCCCTGGCAGTGGTCCAAAAAGGGAATTTTCATTGATCTTCTAGTTTAATTATATCTGTGGCGATATCTACTACCTTGTGAATCATCATGTGGGCTCGTTAGGCACCTGTTCTCTCTCCACTTGCAAGGAAAATGTTTCAATTAGAATAAAAAAATGATTAAAGATCTTTCCTCTTCATTTCTTGCCCTAGGTAACTGAGAGGAAATTGACATGAATATGCAGCTAGGCAGGTGGAGAGCAGGTCAAATCACAGATAGAACTTATTAGCTCTGTCCCATTTCCCCAACACACCCAGCCTTTCTCACCCCCACACAACAATCAAGCATCCATTATAAGGGTGTATATCTTTTACTCAAATGAAGGCTCTGTGAGATAGCAGGATCCAAGTTATTTTTTTCTCTTGAAAATCTGAAGCAGGGAATGATGTGTGGCTCAAGGTACAACTGTTGATGATCAAATTTTGGGGGAAATAAAGACAGAAGGGAACCTAGATGATTAGTGTGCCTGGGTTGGTTTTAGGTATCCTTATCTAATGTATCTCAGCTGATCTGCACACCAACATGTTGGGGAAGTGTGAATAGTGTCATTTCTTTGACAAGAAAACTGAGACCTATCAGTATTCACGTTGAGTTTGGTGCAGTTCCAAAGTCTAACCCAGACCTGTTGAAGAACCTTAAAACTCAAACCAAGATGGAGTGACCTAAGCCAATACCATTAAAAACAAGAAGTCACCTTTGCCCCAAATAAAAATTAAAGTTTAAAATTACAGCCCTAAACTTTTTCCCCCAGAGCTTAAATGAGGTGCAGCTATAAAATAAGGGACCCTATTCTTAGCTAGATGCGACACTTGTGCCTGGCTGTGCTAAGACCTAACCCAGTTTGTATGCCTCCTAATACTCAAGTAACGGTGTGGGAAGCGGGACGCCACTCTCCCACAAGGGGAACAAAGGGAGCGAGACGTCATCCCCCCTCAGGGTGAACAAGATGGCGCTGGCAGGGAAAGGAACTACTAAAGAAGTAAACAACAAAATGGCAACAAGGTGCATGCCTCCCATGTGATCCCGTAGCTGATTGGATAGAAGACACATGCCTTTCACATGATCAGCTCACGGATTGGACTGCTGTGTGCATGGACACTATAGTGCTTTTGATTGGTCACTGCGGGTATATAAACCATGTGGCTTGTACTGGGGGTGCTCTCCGGACTCCTGAGTTCAGGAGGCCCATCTGCGCAGATGCCGAATAAATCCTCTTGCTTTTGCACCAGCTGGTCTGGAGTCTGAGTCTCTGGGGTGTGCCTCTCGATGTGTTAGCATCCTCACTCCAAGGGTCTAACATTTGGGGTCTCATCAAGGATTGGTGCGCCCCCAGACTCAATTCCAGGTTCGGTTGGAGGTAAGAGCTAGCTCAGTTTTCGTTTCGTGTTGCTATTGTGTGTGTGTATGTCTTCGGTGTTTCGGAAAATTGTACCTGTACAGGGCTTGTTTCGCTTGGGCCAGCGGGGGAGGCAGACGTGCCCTGAGACCCCTGGTCCTGCTCTGGAGGATGCTCCAAGAGTTTTGTCGGGGAGGGAGAGAGATCAGGTCTCTCTCCTCTCCGGGAATCCTGGCCGTGGTCGGCCGCTCCCCTCTCAATTCGAACTTTCGGTTTGTTGCCGATCAGTTGCTGCGCAGCTTGTGTGGTTTGTTCTGTTCGTCTGTCTAGTCGGTGTCCTGTACGTTGTCAATTCAATTGTTTTACCCATGGGTCAACAACTAACTACTCCTTTAAGTCTGACTTTAGGACATTGGAAAGAGGTCACGAAATGGGCACATAACCAGTCAGTGGAAGTGTGCAAGAAAAAGTGGCTGGCTTTCTGTACCTCTGAGTGGCCCTCCCTTGAGGTCGGATGGCTGCAGGATGGCACTTTTAACCTTACTATTATTTTACAGGTCAAAGAGAAGGTTTTCCAACTGGGACCACATGGACATCTGGACCAAGTGCCCTATATTGTCACCTGGGAGAGTCTCTTCCGGGATCCCCCAACATGGGTTAAGCCTTTCCTTTCCTCTTTAGGGGCACAGACCCCGAAACCTGGCCCCAGGCCTTCTTCAACCCCACTCGTGCCCTTACCTTTGGCGCCGCTCACTTTTTCTTCCCTTCTTCCCCTGAATGAACCACCTAAGCCTATGCCTAAAACTCCACCAGTTCTCCCAGACACTCAGGAAAATCTTCTACTTCTAGACCCTCCTCCTCCGTACCCTCCTCAGGTCCCACCACAATTGGTTCAGGAACCCCAGGACCCTGAGCCATCCTCCCCCGACTCCACCGAAATGGGAGGGTTAGAGCCTGCCTCCTCCCCACCCTCTTCGCCTGCGGCTGCGGAGGGAACGTGCCGGTGGCCCGGAGGGTGTCTGGTCCTCTCAAGCATTTCCTTTAAGGTCGGTGGCCGGCCAGATTCAGTATTGGCCGCTCTCCGCCTCCGACCTATACAACTGGAAGACCCACAATCCCTCCTTTTCCCAAGACCCCCAAGCTTTGACCGGATTCTACTCACTCACCAACCCACTTGGGATGATTGTCAGCAACTTTTACAGGCCCTCCTCACCACGGAGGAAAAACAGCGAGTCATATTAGAGGCTCGTAAAAATGTGCTGGGAGCAGATGGCAGGCCAACCCAACTGCCTAACGAGATCGAGGACGTCTTCCCTCTGACTCCCCCGGAGTGGGACTACAACACCGTGGCCTGTAGGGAGCGACTCCGTGTCTATCGCCAGACTCTGTTAGTGGGTCTCAAAGGGGCAGGGAAGCGCCCCACCAATTTGGCCAAGGTACGTGCGATTATCCAGGGTCAGGAAGAGACGCCGGCAGGGTTCTTAGAATGTTTAATGGAAGGTTATCGCATGTATACCCCTTTTGACCCTTTGGCCGCTGAACGCCAGTTGGATGTAATTATGTCGTTTATTGGACAGTTGGCTCCCGATATCCAAAACAAATTACAACGACTGGACGGGCTGCAACAGTATACATTACAGGACCTACTAAAGGAGGCAGATAAAATTTTCAATAAAAGGGAAACACAGGAGGAAAAGGAAGAAAGATTACGCAAAGAGCAAGAGCGGAGGGAGGACATCTGGGACAAAAAGCGGAATCGAGAATTAACCAAAATTTTGGCCACGGTAGTGCAGGGTGCAGGGCAAGGTAGGCCAGGACAGAATAAGACCCTGGGAGACAAGAGAAGGCCCCGAGTAGAATGAGACCAATGTGCCTACTGCAAAGAAAAGGGACACTGGGTTAAGGAATGCCCTAAGCTGTCTCAGGAAACTAAGAAAAAGACAGTTCCAGTCCTGCCCTTGGGGGAAGACAACTAGGAAAGTCAGGGCCAGGAGCCCCCCCCCCCCCCGAGCCCAGGGTAACTCTTGACGTAGGGGGGCACCCGGTGACCTTCCTGGTAGATACAGGAGCACAACATTCGGTGCTGACCGAGGCCAGGGGGCCTCTGAGTTCTAAAACTTCTTGGGTCCAGGGAGCTACTGGGGGAAAATTGTACAGGTGGACAACTGAACGAAAGGTCCATTTGAACACCGGACAGGTGACTCACTCGTTCCTACTGGTGCCGGATTGCCCATACCCCCTATTGGGCCGGGATTTGCTTTCAAAAGTGGGGGCGCCTCAAGCTGCCAGAAGGAACAAGGTTCCAGGGAAATCGACCCGGAGTCAATTGGGAGGTAGACTTCACCAAGGATAAGCCAGGAAAATATGGTAACAAGTATCTCCTAGTTTTTATAGACACCTTGTCTGGGTGGATGGAAGACTTCCCCACCAAACGAGAAACCGCTCAAGTGGTTGTCAAAAAAATCATCGAGGACATCTTCCCGCGATTTGGTCTCCCTCAGGTAATTGGGTCTGATAATGGGCCTGCCTTCGTCTCCCAGGTAAGTCAGCTGGTGGCCAAAAACACTGGGGATAAATTGGAAATTACATTGTGCTTACAGGCTCCAAAGTTCAGGACAGGTAGAGTGGATGAATAGAACAATTAAAGAGACCTTAACTAAAATAGCTATAGAGACTGGCACTAGAGACTGGGTCTAACTCCTCCCCATGGTTCTGTTCTGGGTCCGGAACACCCCTTTGGACCATGGACTAACCCCGTATAAAATACTGTATGGAGGACTCCCTCCTGCCGCAAATGTGCTTGATCCTGCATTTGATCCCTTTACTAACACACCTAACTTGCAGGCATGACTGAAGGCGCTCCAGATTGTACAGAACCAAATTTGGAAGCCCTTGGCTGCGGCCTACTGGACCGGGAACACGTCAGATCGAGGACTCTGTCTACATTCGGAGACACCAGCCTAAGACTCTCCAGCCCCGCTGGAAGGGCCCCCTACACTGTACTGCTGACCACTCCGACGGCCCTGAAGGTAGACGGAGTCACTGCCTGGATCCACGTGTCCCACATCAAGTGAGCACCACTGGCTGCTGACGGAGCACCGAGTGAGCCGACCAGATGGAAACTACAGCGCACCCAAAATCTGCTCAAGCTAAGACTCTCAAAAACCACATAATATTTCTAACTTTATTTGTCCTAATCATTGCAAATGTCCTTGCTAACCCCCATGCCCCAAAGAAGCTGACATGGCAGGTAGTGTCAGCCACAGGTGATGTTGTATGGTCTGTAAGTAATCTCGCACCCGAATGGACGTGGTGGCCGTACCTTACCCCAGATCTATGTCAACTGGCGGCCGGTTTAGACACTTGGGACATCCCGATAGTAGACCCAGGGAAGGTCCCCCGATCTGTAAGTTCAACATCAGGATGTCCGGGGGAATAGGCAGGTGGGAGTATGGATGCAGCCACCCCCTACTACGCCATAAGCTTAAAACCCTTGACTTGTACGTGTGCCCCCGAAACGGCCGCAATCGGGAAACTGTGTATCGCTGTGGCGGGGCGGACCACTATTACTGTGCAAGTTGGGGATGCAAAACATCCGGAACTACCTAATGGAAACCCTCATCCAACTGGTACCTCATTTCGGTTGGCAGATGGGCGCAGGACATTCCCTGTTCCTGTTCAAACTTCACCTGTAACCTCTTAAACATAACCTTTACTGAAAAGGGAAAACAAACCCGAAATTGGATTTACGGCAGACAATGGGGCGTTCGGCTCTATTCCTCGGGCCATGACATGGGTCTTCTATTAACTATTCGGTTAAAAGTAGAAACCCCAGCATCGGTATCTGTGGGCCCAAACACCGCCCCACGGTCCCAGCCAAAGGCAGCTGGAGTTAAATCCCAGCCTCAAATCACCCCAACCCAGGTGGCCCCAACCGAGCCTTCAGAAAAAACCGGAGTAACCTCCCTGCACTCTAAACCGCCCCTGCCTCTAGAGACTGGTCAAAGGCTACTAAAATTAATAAAAGGGGCCTACTCTGTCCTTAACCACACCAATCCCGACCTTACTTCTTCCTGTTGGCTGTGGCGGTAGTTGACTCTTATAATGCTACCAATAACAGCTGGTGTCCATGGGACAAAGCACGGCCCGGACTTACACTAACCCAGGTGTCAGGAAAGGGAATATGTTTAGGAAGCCCTCCCCCATCCCACTCGCAACTATGTAACATTACCATCCCAAGTGCAAGTGTAAAAAATGCCACATATGTTAGCCCAGGCTATGGAAACTGGTGGGCTTGTAACAAGGGACTTACCCCCTGTGTGTCTCCCTCGGTCCTTAGCACCACCCAGGATTTTTGCATTATGGTACAGCTAGTGCCTAAAATAATTTACCATCCAACCAACACACTAGAAGATTCCTATGATAGACACCCCACCCGCTTTCGTAGAGAGCCAGTTTCTCTGACCCTAGCAGTCCTGTTAGGGCTCGGAGTTGTGACAGGGGTTGGAACTGGAACAACAGCCTTAATCCAGGGTCCTCAATATTACAATCACTTAAAAAACGCCATTGATGAAGACATACAGGCCCTGGAACACTCTATAATTAGGCTGAAGGAATCCCTCACTTCCCTGTCCGAGGTAGTCTTACAAAATAGGAGAAGGCTTGACATACTCTTTCTCGAGAAAGGGGGCCTTTGTGCGGCCCTTGGTGAAGAGTGCTGTTTTTATGTCAACCACTTGGGAGTCATAGAAGACTCCATGGCAAAACTAAGGGCTAGGTTGGACAAAAGGCATAAAGATCGAGAGGTTTGAGGGTTGGTTCAACAAGTCCCCCTGGATAACCACTCTCATTTCCACAGTGACGGGCCCCCTCATTATCCTCCTCCTAATTTTAACTTTTGGCCTGTGCATCCTCAATCGGTTGCTGCAGTTCATCCAGGACCGGTTGTCCATCACGCAGGCCTTTGTGCTCACCCAACAATACCAGGGTCTCAGGGATGGCGCTGACCTTTAGATTTTAGGATTAAAATCTCTCCAAAAAGAAAAGAGGGGAATGAAGAACCTTAAAAATCAAACCAAGATGGAGTGACTTAAGCTAACACTATTAAAAACAAGAAGTCACCTTTGCCCCAAATAAAATTAAAGTTTAAAAATTATAGCCCTAAACTTTCCCCCCAAAGCTAAAATTAGGTGCAGCTGTAAAAATAAGGGACCCTCTTTCTCTCTGTCTCTCTCACTGTCCACTCTGCCTGTCAAAAAGTACAAAATAAAATAAGGGACCCTATGCTTAGCTAGCTGCGACAATTGTGCCTGGCTGTGCTAAGACCTAACCCAGTTTGTATGCCTCCTAATAATCAAGTAACGGTGTGGGAAGCGGGACGCTGTTCTCCCTCCAGGGGAACGAAGGGAGCGAGACGTCGTCCCCCTCAGGGTGAACAAGATGGTGCTGACAGGGAAAGGAACTGCTAAAGAAGTAAACAACAAAATGGCAACGAGGTGCATGCCTCCCATGTGATCCCGTAGCTGATTGGAGAGAAGACGCATGCCCTTCACATGATCAGCTCACGGATTGGACTGCTGTGTGCATGGACTCTACAGTGCTTTTGATTGGTCGCTGCGGGTATATAAACTGTGTGGCTTTGTACTGGGGGCGCTCTCTGGACTCCCGAGTTCAAGAGGCCTGTCTGCGCAGACGCCGAATAAATCCTCTTGCTTTTGCATCAGCTGGTATGGACTCTGAGTCTCTGGGGTGTGCCTCTCGATGTGTTAGCATCCTCACTCAGAGGGTCTGACAGTATGTTTCTAACTCTACCGTTTGAGGTAAGTCAGCTTGAGCATGTCCCGAATTGCACATCTCTTCCCTCTCTTATTCCCACTCTTATATTTAACAGCGATCACTTTTCAGTTAAGTTTCAGCACCTAAGAATAATTGTGTATTGATTACAGTATTCAACCAAAAGTATTAAGTAGAACAAACAAAAAATATGCCTTTGTATCAGATGCCCTCTGCACCTCAGAAGAAAGCAGTGTCTGGTGACTTTGTGTCTGTTTAGTGAGCAGCTCTTTGCAGCCGTCCCTGCCCTCTCTTACTAGTGTCCTTCCTCCAGTAGTCACCCTGTCAGTCACTCCCTGTCAGTCACCCCCGCGCACCTGGTGGGAACAGCAATGTGCAGAATGAAGTTGCCATGCCCACTCGTTACTGGCATTTGCCATATCTCTTCATGTCCCCAGTTCTGGGAGCTCATCCCTATGTGTGTTAACTTGGAAAGGAATACAGGTCCTGGTAGCCTCCTCAACCTGATACCATGTTTTCTTCTTTTGTTGATTCATCAATGCCCATAAATTCAGTAGTCGATTTTCAGAGGTGGAGGGGAGTAACACTAGTTCCACCAACAATTGGCAGCAAGAGGCACACAGTTTCAGTACTCTTAGAATACAAAAGAATATGACTCAGAAAATATGCATTCCTGAATAGATGCAGGTGCCTCATTCCCAGCCTTTGCCCTTTCCTTTGCAAAGCCAGGGTGGTTTGATTCTTGCCCCATTACTTCAACTCAGGAGCTGAGACACTTTACCCATGTGTCTCAGCTGGGTCTCTTTTGCCCTGCTTCCTTTTGGCATGAAAGTATCCCTTTCAAAGGCAGCCCTTTGTGCTCTCATGCTTATCTCATGTCTGTGATTCTACCTGCTCATCCTTGGAAATGTGTGTGGCATTCCAAGTCTTGTGGACAGGAGAGCAACCAGCATGAGATAGACACAGCCCCTTAGGCCACCGTGAACAAAAGCTGCACATAAGGGAGACGGGACAATAGCTTTCTCTTAACTTCAGAGACTTCAGCTCCCTGAGGATCAAGAACTGCCTGGAACTCAGTAGAGTTCTTAGTTAACCACTCCCTGCTGACATAAGCTGAGAATTCATTCTGAGATTTGATGGTTGTTTAGAGCCCCTGTCTCTTCTGTTGAGGAACAGTGTTTTTTTCTTTATACTATTTGTTGAACTCTTTTACTTAGTGTAGGATTAACTTTACCATCCTTAAGGAAATTGAAAATAGAACTTTGTAAAAATTAAGAGTGGGAATAGGAGGGAGAAGAAGGGTTGGAGAGTGGGTGGCAGGGAGGGAAGGGAGAAAAGTATCTATGTTCCTAAATCTGTATATTTGAAATATATGAAACTTGTATAACTTAAATAAAATTTACAAAAAAGACTAGGAATTCAGTGAAAGGAGTTTAGGTTGCTCAGAGAATGCCCAGGAAGACTGGAGAAAAAAGTTCATAACCCAGTAGGAAAAGCGGAGGCCAGCATTATCCTGTTCCACAAAGTCACATCACAGAGCCCTGTGGGAGATCACCACTGCTAAAGCTGCCCCTGTGTCCCGGCTGTGACTTGCCACCCTAAGGAAGAACCACGGCCATGAGCACCAAAGCTGCCAGCGGCCCCAGAGAGCGGGTTATGTCGCTGGAAGGGCTTCCCTAAACGCCACATACATGCTTCCTCTTCTTTAACAAAATTCTTCCTCCCAGATGGTCATATGACTTGTTCCCCCAACCTGCTTTAGGTCTTTGCTCAAATGTCACCTTTTCAGTGGGACCTTCAATATCAAGCTGTGTACCCCCCAATATCTGCATGGCCCACCAAC